TCTCTATGCATTACTAGCAGAGGATAATATAGACAACCCTCTAATATGAGTTCTCAGGCTTTTATCTACAAGTCTGTTTGGTTAATTTTCTCACAATATCTTATATTGATCACTGTGATCTGAAATAGTTTATCATAGTTCTTCTTCAAGTTAGTATCCTTAAAAATAGAGAATTCTGTATTGCTGATTTGAAGTATTCTTTTATATACACTACTAGCATAGAGACAATAGCAGCAATAAAGAATAGATATCTGCCAGTGGTACACTTTACCAAAATGTATTCTAAGGATTTCAGATTTGTTTGATCTCTACTATGTATAATCTATCTATTAGTAGCTAGAGAATGAGCTGAAACAGATTATTTTCTCCTCTTCTCCTTGTGCTAATTAGTAGCTACTTTTGAATTTCTTTATTTAATTCTTTTTTACATCTGTTTAGTATTTCTTTTCTGCAAATTTCTCTTCTTTTATCTCTACTACTTTCTCTAACCTTTTGTCTGAGTTATTTTCTACTCTTGTTTGTCTCTTCTTATTTATCCTTTTTTCTGTCTTGTCTCTATTTTTCTTTTGACTATTTTTTCTACCTTTTTTACTCTCTTCATCTTAGTATCTTACTTTATTCTTATTTATACTATTTTATTCTCTATCTTTCTCTCTCCTATTTTTTTTTCTTTATATTTTCTTAGCTTATTAATTAGAAGGTTAATCAGTTAGTTACTGGGTAGTAATAGCTTAACTACTTAAGTGATAAAAGAGTTAAAGAAAATAGAAGATAATGAGAAGAGAAAATTGTACTATGTTTTCTATATATACACACAGATTTTTTGTACAAGAGCAGATATGTTTTATTTTATCCATATTCAATTTTGTAGTGATAGTCCAACTATAACAAATATGAGTACTCAATTATAAAATTGATTTTATAATTTGTTTTTACTTTTATTTTAAGTATCTTTTACTACTCTATTTATTTTCCTTACAGTTTTAAGTATGTTTTAATACTTAAGCTATTTGAAGTATTACTTGATCTGAGAAACACTTGAGATTTTTAACCATGTGAGATATGAATAGATTTAGGCCCTGTTCGGCAAGCCAAAAATACGATAGTATTTCTACTTTTACGGTGTATTTTTTGCAGTATTTTTATTTTAGTTTGGCCAAGTGTTCGGCAAGCCACAAATACTCTAGTATTTTTATAAAAATACAACTGAATTTTTTACTATAGTATTTTTGTAAAAACAATTCAAAATAAATAAATTCAAGCTTTCTATAAGTAATATAGTATGAAATTGTCAATTGTTTTTCTATTCTTCAAATACAACCCTTTTTACTTCATTATTTTATACAAGATTAGTATTATCAGTACCTGACTACAAAAAAGGTTCTTAATTTCAGTCCAGCAGAATCATATCCTTTCTAACCAACAATACCACCTTACTCACTGGATTATGGACGATGATATAGATCAGGCCAACCACAGCGATTGCAATATTTCCCTTCAACTAAATGCCACCTTCCTGTTGAATATGCTACAGCAGTTGCCGATGTAGCAGGAGCACGATATGAGATTCAGGAATGTCGGAACTCTATACTTTCAGGGAAAGATTATGTGGAAGAACTACTTGCTCCATCAACAAATAGAAGACGAGTGATTGAGGTATTAAGAATGCTACGTGAAGTATTCCTTCAACTATGTCAATGGCTAGAGGATAGAGGTCTTCTTGTCTCAACAAAGTTTGTTAAGGTAGAGGAGCAAGTAGCCATGTTTATTTGGACTGCTGGGCGGAATGCCTCAAATCGGGATGTGCAAGAAAGGTTTCAACATAGTGGTAATACTGTTAGCCGGTAAGTAACAATTTCTATAGTCTAATAACTTGTTTGATATAAATACTAATAAAATATGAGATTAATAGCTACTTCAATATTGTTTTAAACAGTCTGATAAAGCTACACACCAGCTTTGTTAAACTCCCAGTGAATGAGTGTCCATATGAAGTGGAGAGAAATAAGAAGTTCTATCCATACTTTAAGAATGTACTAGGAGCAATTGATGGTACTCATGTACTAGCTCATATACTAGGACAAAATATGGGAACATATCGGAACCGCAAGGGCCAGATAACTCAGAATATTATGGCTGCCTGTACATTTGATCTCCAGTTCTGTTATGTTTTGGCTGGATGGGAGGGGTCTGCTCATGATGGAAAAGTATTGAATGATGCATTTGATAAGGGATTTGTAATACCTGAAGGGAAGTACTACCTTTGCGATGCTGGATATGCATTAAGGAAAGGGTGCTTGACACCATACTGTGGGGTACGATATCATCTACGTGAGCAGTACCGATCACGTAATAGGTATGTTATATTTTATCTTTATTCTTGAGGAAATGAATCCTTAGACTATTATGATAGAGTATAATCAAATACAGTTGTTAATTGATTAAAGCATGCTAATTATCAATGTAAATCAGACCACAAAATAAGGAAGAGCTGTTTAATCTACGGCATTCTCAGTTGAGGAATTCAATTGAAAGAATCTTTGGAGTCCTCAAGCGAAGATTTCCAATCTTGAAAACTGCGGCAGAGTACCCATTTCAAAGTCAGGTTAAGCTTGTCTTAGCTCTAACAGCTTTGCACAATTTTATTAAGCGCCATCAACAAGAGCAGGAATTGGATTCAGTAAATGATATGTTAGGCTTGACTGATGATAATTGTTAAGAATCCTACCTGGGTGGGGTGCGACAGGTAACGGTTCTTAACTGGTAGCGAGGAGATAGTTCTCAGGCCTTTGCCTACGCGATATTGATAGCTAAGTCCTTATGACTTCTATCTTATCACGCCTATTCCTCTAATCTTCTTAAGTCCTCACCTAGGACTTAATTACTCGGCGTGGGAGGAGAAATAGTTTTCTCTCGTGGGAGGAAAGACAATTCTCGGGTTTCGTAAGATAAATCTTAAAGAGCGTAAAGGTAGGTTTTATTGATAACTTATATGTAGGAAATAAACAAGAAGAACGTGTGAAGAGCTAATACTAGGGGTCCTAGTGACCCTTTATATAGTAGCTCTTCACCTAGCGTGACTCATACTTATGCGTTACGCGAACCTTGTGACTCATAACTATGAGTCATGCGAAATCCCTCAGCTGACTCCTATAAGTCGCTGCGCAACATACCTAACCAATCAAAACATAATAACCAAGTCAGGTGCGCAACTCGCGTCACCTGAGTGAGACCCATGACTCATAATCTGAGTCATGTGCGAAAATCATAACATCGTGTGACTCACAAGCGTGAGTCACGAACAGGTAAACATAATAACCTATGGCGCACTAATGTGCGTCATGTGAAATCCCCACATACCTATAGCTCGTAATTCCGAGCTATGTGAAATCTGCCTTGCTTAGTCACAGTTTGTGACAATAATGAAGACTCAATTGAAGAGCTTCTGTCACAGGAGAGTCAAGCAGGAAGACACTCAAATTCAGGTAAGTTGTTAAGAGAGAGAGAATTGATCTTGTTTTAACTTATAATCAATAGGCCATAGTGGAAATATGAGATCAGGAGAACAATATGAACATGTAGGAGATAATAGGGAGGAAGAAGCCCTAGTGGAGAATGCATATGAAGGCAACAGAGATAATGATGAACAGGGAATGGCAAGATTGCGAGATCAACTTGCATCTGAAATGTGGAGAGATTATCAGCTGTATTTAAATAGGCATGAAGTATAGTTATGCAAGGATTATTAGATTATAATTCACTACCATCAAATAATAAAATACTTTATTGATAGGAGCACAAGTCATATACATAAAAGATATCTATTACATAAATTAAGAAGCAAGCTGTATTGCTGTAACGATCCTACTCATGGTACTTGATTATTCCCATGGTACTCGTGATCCAATAGGTGACGACCATTAATACTTCGTTCATCGTTCTTAGGCCGATGCCTACGTTACCGATGTTGTGAAGTCCACTAACTACGACCAGGTAACGCCGATGAGGAAGGTACCAATATCTCGATCACTTATTGAGGTGATAGGTAGTTAGACATTCTTCAATCTGCCTAACGTAACATAAAGGTATAAAGATATATTCTTGTATGTAGGAAAGTCCTTAGAACAACGCATGAGGAACTAACTAACTAGCTAGGTCCTCCTCCTTATATAGTCCTCCCTTGAGAAACCCTAACCCTGGTGACTCATAACTATGAGTCACACCTTAACCTCTGACTCACAACCGTGAATCATGTGAAATACATCATCTGACTCGTATGAGTCGTACTTAAATGAAATGCAATCAAACTATAAGATCAGGTGCGCAACTCACGTCACCTGAGTGAGACCCATGACTCATAACTTGAGTCATGTGCGAAACTCATAACATCGTGTGACTCACAACTGTGAGTCATCAAATGCAAACATAATAATCAAACATAAACAACTATAACTCTTAAGCGAGTTAAGTATGAAACAACTATTAAGCGCATAACAAAACTTAAGGAGATCTTTAACAATTTTGACTTATCTTAATCCTCGCTAAGTCGAGTTTGTGACAATTGCAATCCAATTAGTTCTGATGCCAGGATATTTGGCAATTGCCAAAAATCCAATAGCATTTTTTCTCTCCTGAAGAGCAAGTACCAGCTTCGTGATATCAGACTCACTATACTCATCTGACTCTGCATAAAGCTCAAGGAACTTTTTGATTGCCTGCTCTTCTTTGCTGGTTTGGCTCTGAATTCTCTGTTCAATAGCCTCATCGCGGAGAGCGAGCAGTGCATTTGCAAGTGTACCTTGAGGTGTCCTGCTTGTGCGGACACGCTTATTACGATGGCCTCCATCACTCCCATCTCCTAACTCTTCACCACCAGCATCAGAAAGTCTACTCCGACTGCGTACAAGTGAGCTTGAACCATGGCTACTAGAGCCTCCACTCAACCTAGGGCTCCAGTTTCCAGCCTGAGCCAAAACAGAATTATTGGGCATAGAACTTCCAATAATTTCTAGTTCATGCTCAGGCTGGCTACCAGTCACTTCTCCATCTTGCTCTAAACCCCGGGCCCCCAATTCTCCTGTGCCCAACTCTATTTCCAATACTACCTGATCCCTCTCTGCCGCAGATTCAATCTCCCCAGTTCTTGCAAATCTTCCTGAAGCTGCCACACCAGAAAACAACTCTTCGAGAAGCTCATAGTGGGGCAATCCCTTATGGCGATACTTTCCAGCTTCTTTATGGACCTATATATATATTTTATTAATCTCCTATTAGCTTGAACTCATATAAATGTTTATTACTTAGCTTTTATCATAGAAAATAGTACTTACAGCTGTATACTCTTGCCAAACTAATGCTGGCACTGTGGGAATACCCTTAAACTCATCCCAACCGAATCCTGAGTTTGATCTTATCTTTCGAACAATTTCAAACTCACACTTAAGCTAATCAAAATTCAATTGAATAATTAGCCAATATACTTTACCTTAATTATTTATAAACTACTACAAAGATTGCATTTAATTGGATCAATTCACTTACAATAACTTCTTTATTCTTTGCTTGCATAACTGTAATCGGCTTAGGCAGCACCTCTTTGAATTTGGCATTGAGCTCGGCTACAACCTGTGCCCATACTGCTTTTTTAAATCCATTCTCAGCACGCTCACCCTGCCGAACACGCTTCAGAAGAGCTTCAATGAGAAACTTCTCAGTTGATGATACCCAAATACTGTTTGCCATCATAGAAACAAAGAAGAGATATTTTGTTGTGTGGAGAAAACAGAATTGTAGTATACCACATGTCTAATAAATACAAAAAACATACTCATATTATACAAGTTCTATTACAGACATCAGATAAGATTTTGCTTATTAAGAAAAATACAATAGTAAAAGTGTATTGCCGAACACCATTATTTTTAGAAATACTATAGTATTTTATTTCAGCTTATATGCTATTTCCCTGAAATACGATAGTATTTTTGTATGGGCGCTTGCCGAACAGGCCCTTATATATTTGAACACCAGTACTAATTTCTATAGTAAGAACAGCAGACTTCAACTAACAGTATCTCTAATATACTTAGTTGTATAATTACCTCTCTAAGTTTCTATTATATTTGTCTGAAGTCTTCTTTAATGTAGTACTATAAAAACTTGAATAGAAGACAAATATACTAGAATATTGTACTTGGGCATAAGGGTATTTATCATTCAGTTACACAAGTCTTCTTTTCTAGGAAAGTATCCCCCCTTTTGTTTAAATGTATAGGGTACGGCACTATCTTAATAACTTTGTACAAAAATACAACATAGTAGAAAGAGTATACTACAGGCACGTTAAGTGAGGAGGAGTTTGGTATGAAGGTAGATTGGTAGTAGTTCTTGTCCTTAATCTCTTTAAATGAGATGGATGGTAGCGCCTATTTATACAGGTGTGCATCCTTCAAGTAACTTAAGAGGAAATGTAAGGGAAAACAAAGTATCGACGTATTTGACCATAATGTAAGTAGGAAAAACATAAGTGCAAACATGTTTGACCCTGAAGAACTGCCAAGGAAATCCCATAAAAGCATGCGTAAATCTAAGATGGTGTGAACAAATAAATCAACCTGAACACCAGATAAGGAAAGCATGCCATAATCCCCTAATCGTATCATGAAATATTAGTGAAATATATGTAATACATACTCCAGCTGTAGTAATGTTCATAATAATACCAAGTAGAGAAATATACGATATTATCAAGGAAAATATACATATGAAACGAATTAGGAAATTCAACACCTTTTACTACCACAGTAAGAAGACCACATATCAGATCATATTTGTCCTCTACCACACCTCTACCAATACATTACTATATACAAAAAAATCATGAAGCAAAAGGAAACTCATAAGCAGAACCCAACAGATGTTTACCATAGTGAAACTATACATAATAAATACATCCAAGTTATTATACTTCACGATACTGCAGGATGTGATTGAAGCTAGATTGGTTAATACCTAAATATTTATTGCTAGACATACCAAAAGATTAGTATGTATCTATTCTGCTGTGGTGATTTATATTAAACATACTAATAGATTTACAAATAGTCTAAAGACAATGGCACACCTTCAAATTCTCACCATTCCAGCTACCCTTCAATCTTCAACAAGGCTGAAAAGTAGCAATTGAAAGCCTTCATGATATGAGATACCAGAACAGAACAGCTTAGCTAAGATAAGTTATACCTAAAGATAGACTATACCTACAGTCCACATATGGTAAAAAGTATAATGGAGTCTATAGGCTACCATCAGTACATTGTATAAAAGAAATTCACAATTTAGCCAGTCAACCATTCCTACCATATGGCCTGATATTGTGAGCATTTGAACTAGAGCTATAACAATTGACTCTACATGATGTAAATGGATAAATCAACCTTTTCTACTACTGGCTGTGGGAATTGTCCTTAGATTATATTTAAAGTGAGTAAGGAGTTTTATCTCAACCACATTAATGAAATATTTGAATCTGAGCAAGAAAGCAGGATAGTTTAGAAGGAGATTTGTGAGACTATGTGGTCTAAGTTAGTTCTTATACCCAGTAAGGCTAAGGTTGATTCTGCCTTATATGTGAGAAACATTATATATCCTCTCCTTATTCTTTTCTAATATCATTGTTGTATGAAATATACATAGATAATAGTAGTTGAGGATGGCATATTTAGTTACAAGAAATATGTCACTCAATACCAGAATCTCAACCAGGCTAAAACTAGACAATATCCAAATCCAATTCCTAGATTTAAACTTAATAGAGGTACAATATCTAGACATGAAGAATGAATTGGATGAGATATAAGGTAGAATTGGTGATATAGTAACTTTATAATATACTCTAAATACAGTTTCGAATGAAATTCCTATCAATTAGTTAGAAAATCTTATTAGAACTATGCTAGACTGCTTATAAGCTGTCACTGATGCTGATGGAAGGGTAACTCTATATTGATTCCTGTATAATATAGACATCTTTTCTTTATAAATCATACTTATCAGATATCACTTGTAGAAATCCTTACTTCTAGACTGTACCTACCCTTTTGCTGACATCAAAAAAGTACTCACCAGATACCACTCATATTTCCTAACCTGGTTTCAGCTGCACATAAATGCCATATCTTCTTTTGGAAGTGGACTTAACAGTTCTTACTCCACCTAGTATAGTGCTGTATATATTCCTTTTCCTTTGTCTCAGTTGAGTGCTGGGTTTACAGTAATTTCTCCTTGCTTAGCTAAGTAGAGGAATTTCAATGTCCTAGTATATTTTTCTTCCATTGGAGTTTTTACAGTAGTTCCTACAAGTTGTATCTCAACTTATATGCTACTTCTATTATACTTAGAGTATTAATTAGCACCCCCATACAAACATATGATATCTATATTATATTTAGAAATATTTCTTTTTTCAATTTTCTTTGTACAGTTAATATTTTATTATGTTCAAGTTATAATACTTTAAATAGTATAGTTCCAGATGGCTTAACTGTGTACCAAATAATTTGTAACAGGAGATGGCTTGGCAAAAGAAAAAATATACATATATTCAATCTGTAGTAAGGTTATAGTTTTTGGTTAATTGTAAAGCTATATGAGGTGTCAGTATTAGGGGAGGTAATTTTGATAAAAATAATAATATATTATAGGCAGCAAAAAAGTGAATATAAATTTAAGGAAAATAAATATCTATATAGTATCTTTAATTAATAGAAATCTTACATTATGATATGATCTATTGATATTTTATATAATAATATATGGCTAGAATATATTAAAAATAACTATATCGAGTCCAAGACTTAAATATCTCTATACTTTTTCAATTTGTAGCTAAATACCAAGGTATCCCCTATTACAAATCATTTGATACACTGTTAAGACATCCAAAACTATGTTTAGAGAGCAGAATATAAGTAATTTTACTTTATTTGTAAAATATTCTATTAGGAAAGTAACCTACTAAGTTAAGAGGATATCTTCTTACCTCAGGAGAATTCTTAACTAGCAGGATAAAATATGTCCTATTAGTAAAACAAACTCTTACAAATATTTACCAAAGGCATCACTCTTAGAAAATTTATAAATAGTATTCACTATTTTTTCTTTCAATATATAAGACTATATTATAAATTTTGTAGTTGTCAATAATGTTCTTAGTACTAAAGAAACTAAGTACCTTAAGTATAGATCATTCAACTAATTGACTACAATATGACTAGGACAGAAGGTATTATCTATCTCTTCTACTCTCAATAAGGAGATAATAATATACTTATAATAAATATCATCCTCTCAGCACTAAGCCTGAGTATATCACACTTTTTATTATTATTAAGAATTCTATATAACTAGTTCTAGACTTGTTATAGAATCAAAGTGACAAAAGAAATATAAATCTGGTCATAATAGGATTTCAAATATCCTCATCTTAGAGCTATCCTCTATATAATATATTCTTACCAAAAGGTCATAACTGCTAATCTACTAGTAACAATCAACTACTAAATTATTAATTCTGTTTCCGAAGTCAAATATGTAGTCTAAGCCCTTTATAAGATACCACTTAGCATAATATTATAATATATCATACAACTACCTTCTATAAAACCGGCCCCGCTCAAGTAGTGACGGACACGAGCATGATCGAGCACATTATACAGGTTCTGCTTGACTACAATGTGATTAAGAGGTATACATGATTGAATGACCAACAATAGCCCAATTACTGATCAAGTGGTTGATCGTGGGTACTGCTTGGGAAATGGTATGGAATAGTCGGTCATCATTAACTATCCCAGATCATGCTCAAACATTTACCCGCACACATTATTACATGGTTACCAAGATATCTATATAAATGGTCAATTTAGTACTTATCCGTCAGACATACTAGTTTCTTTTCGTTCAGTTTCCCCCAGTAACCCCCCCCCCCACCCTCTAACGCCAGTCACCTCCCTCACCCCTCCCTCACCCCTCCTCCATTTGTCTCATAACCACACAATCATGCCATATTCAACTGTGGTATTACTATCTTTTCATTATCCGAGGTTCTCATTTTTTTTTTCTTCTTTTCTTGTCAGCAGTCATATCAATTGGCAATATAGCTGAGTGATCGATCATGATTGGGTTTAGCCAAATTTAACGGTGCACAGTCGACTCTAATCGATTAGTATCGATGATCAATCAAGTTGAGCAGATTATAGATCCCATGCCCAATCATGCCATTATTAAGAGACCCCTGTGATCAAGGTAATCGAGCACACTGTAGTCAAGCAAAAGCCAATCATGATCCGATCATGGCCATCATTACCGGTATGCTCATCTCAAAATTCAATTTCAGTAAGCATATAAAGACTTTTCACCAAGATATAAATGTTATAGCGAATTTTATCCTACCACTTATACGAGAATGCACCATAATGTAGAAAAGCAGAAGGGAAAAACTAATTCCCTGAATGCTAATACTGAACAATCTATTCAACATACAAAATATAAAACAGGAAATAGCAGAAATAGGTATCGTAATTTCGGGTTCCCAGATACCATACCTACTTAAACCCTATCATACCTGCTACCCATCGGAAAAATCAATCCAACCCCAATACACTTTCAAAACTATGCCTCCGTATGCCTCTTCGCAGACCCCATAATTACAGCAGGACACAAATCCACTACGATACCATACCCGTGCCTCCACCACTAACCCGCAAGCAACCACAACCTACAGTACAAGCCTGCAGGCCAATTCACCCCCTACGGCAGACCAACCTACCAGAAGTAACTAGAGCCTGCCCGCCCAGATTCCTACAAGTGGCCATCCTTTCGCCCAATTCAAAACGAATCTCAGGTATCATACCAATAAGCCCGATGCAGATCGAATATATACACCAGTTAAGACACAGCTAATTGATAGATTCCCACCAACTCGAATAATATACCTACCCAGTACGATACAATACCGCCCTGAGTAAAAAAAAATACAAAAAAAAAAGAATCTAACAATCCCCCACTTCAACTTTCACCCCTTACTACACTACACAGCGCACGCCACATCGATACTTTACCTCTCATGCCAGTAATGAGCGGTACGGAGCCAGAGCAAGTTGTCGAAATACTACGCACTGGCACTCGCTATCTTCCCGCAAAGCATACTTATAATACTCTCTGGTACCTTTCCCCTCCATCATCCCTCCGCTTACAAAATATGTGAACGCGGCCGAGAGGAAAGGACGGGAACCAAGGACGTTCATCGTTCCCATAAAAACGATCACGGCCCGGAAAACAAATTCGGAAACAAGCTTAAGTAGTGATTATACGTCTTGGTATGCCTGCGTGCCTGAGCAAATTCCCGCCCTGCTCCGCCAGACAAATTCAAAGACAGTCGTTTGGTCTCAAAGCGATCTACCAGGGAATCGCCCTCCTACAGCAGTCCCTCGTCATCATGGTAACGGGATCCTATCCCCGTTGTGGTAAACTGGGCATGCCGGGACAGGTGGTCGGAATAGTGCAACTGAATTTGATGACAAGTCACAATTTCCCTGAGATACTTAAATTGAAATTAAACTAGCGAGGTCATGAATATTACACCTTTATATCGGAATTGGTATTATAATTGGGTAGAGAGTAGATTACCTTACACAATATCTAGCGCTGTATGGGTATTTTTATTTCATCTACTATAATCTGCTTTCACCCGGACATCTCGAGTGATAATTCATGTTCTCTAGGTCGCTTTTCCCGCCAACCTATCCACTAGCCTCTCGAACTCACACCTACGCACCAACGCATGCAAAAACGCCCCACAATAGTATATAAAAAAATCTCATAATATTCCGTGATATGTACAGCCCGCCACACCCGATCCGCGCTGGTTTTACCCCCTTCATGCAAACAACACCAACCTGTGACCTTTCAAAGACAAAGGGGAAACCGCTAAACAGAAGGATGATGAAGGGAAGAGAAAAAAGGGAGTCCATTTTCCGCAGGCGACCCTTTATTACTGCAGTGCCAGAGGAAAAGAAAAACGAAAAAGAATGAAAGAATAATAAAACCCAGACCCGAGCAATAACAAAATGCAAAAGAGAATTAAGGCATAAAAGATCAGCGCCTGGCGAAACAGCAAAGGATGGAAGCACGACCCAAGAACCAGACACAACCAACGAACCTGAAGAGGGACAAGGCAGCGGTGGCGAGGAGGATGAACCGGAAGTACCACGCCGTTCGTTCGGGAGACTATTGGCGCAAATGTTAGTACTTAAAATTGCGTGGAATAGGAATTCGCGGTGAGCTTACCTTAACACCGAACCAGTCAAAGTTCTCCGAAGTAAACAGAATGACAATCGTGGAATTACTGAAGATCCAAAAAGTGATCAATCGGGTCCTGAAGCTCTTGTATGAATCATCGAGGGACTTTTTCTCAACTTCCTCCACGGCGGTGAAGGGTGCGAGAGCACGTTTTACAGTCTCCTCGAAGGCTAAATCAATATCCGCTTGTGGTTTCTCCGGCTCGTCGATAACCTTCGATTTACCCTCGACCTTGGTCTTCGCCGAGGGCAGCGCCTCGGCTTTGTCGGATCCCTTGGTACCCCAAGAAACGTCATGCCAATTACAGAAAGCATAGACGTTGAGGATATTGGTGTACGACGAGGCCATCAATATGTACTGGAAGAAACTGTGCACCATGTGCCAGGGGTCGAGATACATCACCGAAGCGACGACGTAAATACCATAAGTAGAAACCAGGGCGAGAATAATAAGACCGGTATTCGAAGTGAAGAACTGCTTGATAAACTCCCCCAGCGAGTCCGCCTTCAAATCCGACCAGGAATCCTGGTTCGTAAAGGCGCGGACAACGAGGTAGAAAGCGAGCATGAGAACATAAAACTGAAGGATGGAGAACACGTAAAAGGACAAAAGATAACTGTGACGGGATCCCTTCGGCCGATTACCCAAAGCAAGGATAAACTGCAAAACCAGGAAGGCAAGATAAGTATACTTCAACATGTTGTTGAAGACAGGTGTAACGGTATCCCCAAATGGCCAAGCGTGCTTTCCCCTATCCTTTTCCGCGTCGGTCGGATCACCGACAAGGTCCATGATAACAGATGTCGTGAGCCAAAAAGAAGCGATCGAGAACCAACTCATAATGGTCGAAAAGATGTTATAGATTAACTGGATGTGGAAAAAGAACATGCGAATGATGTTATGCGAGCTGGAGTACATACGACCAAAGTGCATGAGCGAGTAGATACCGGCAGCGAAGGAACCGTTCAGCCATCTTCGACGCTGAGAAATGAACTCCGCAGCTCCCTCCGGCACGTCCGTCTCTCCTCTTGACGATCGAACGTATGTCAAATGCCACTTTGAACCAGCCTTAGCAACAAGCTCGAAACAAAGGATACGATCCTCAGCCAAGAACATGTTCTTCTTGAAAATATTCATCCCATCAATACCCTTCTTCCCGAACCGGGAAGAAAGCGTGTGATCACCGTGAAAGTACTGCTCCAACGGGCGGCCCATGATGGCACGGAACCGGTAGGCCGAGAAAGCGCCGGGCAACACGCTGACATAACCAAATGCCGACTCCAACGGCTTATCCAGAATATTTGAGATCTTGTACTCGAAATTCTGTGCCGCAACAAGGGGGTTGACGAGGTTTCGGCCTCCCTTACCCAACATAGCATGGATCTCACCGCAAGCTCCACCGAGGTTCTTGTCATTGTAGAAGGCTTCCCAAAGAGCAAGGATACTTTTGGGACCAGGCTTGGTACCGGCGTCAATGAGTACGCAAACTTCCGGATTCAGGATCCTTCCGAAGGCATTAAACAGCCATCGATGGGAGTTGATCTTTTTAGAATTCCGTTGCTTAAGACAAAACATTACTTGTACCGGTGGAAAGGCGGAGTTATCCATATCGTCGGTGGGCCTGACAAGATTTTGGTGGGAAGTCACCGACAATTGAGTAGTATATTCAAACTGTCCGACGAAAAATAAATCAGTCATTCGATCCAGAAAGAAAGAAACAATGCAAACCCGAGCGAGAAAACCAAGAAATCGTAAAAAAGAAAAAGTGCATTTTGCCTTCTTGTCTTCTCAGCCGCTCCTGGCTGGAAGAATCGAAAACCCGGTCGCGCACCGCAAAACAGCCAACCGATCCGCCCTCGGCTGAGTGAACGCGGGAGGCTTGCATTGCCGCACACACGCCATCGGATAACCCAATTGATGTGATGACAACCCACATACCCCCCGCAAATAAACAAACGCCACGATGATAAACAAAAACAGACTTACGATATGAGCAGTGGTTTCCTTGCCATCAACATCCTTCTTCATAACACCATCCTGAAACACGCCAACCGTGGCCAATACATCGAGGGTATTTTTGTCGCAGGGATCGATACCGTCAAAAACCAAACAAACAACAATTTTCTGCCAAGCCGGTCCCCCCTTCCACCAGAACTCTGACTTTTTCAGGTTAACAATGTCACGAACATTTTGCATCACTCCGTGAAGTGTTCTGGCCGTAAGCACTTTGTCTTCGTTGTAGTAAGTGATGGCAATCAGCAGCTCTGTGTGTCGGTTATACATCCGTGGTCTCAGATCGTATCCGTTCTTGAGCGTAAAGTCATCAGGGTCACATGTCGCCGCAGTGTCTGTGTGCGGTACCCAATTAGTAGCTGTCTCGGAGCCAACTACCACAAAGTCTCCGTAACAAAGGTGAGGCAGAGGGGAGAGAAGGAAAAAGAAAGAAAAAAAAGAAAAAAAAAGTAAGGATGGGAGAAAACAAACATCTCATATGAGTAAACTCATTAGCCGCGGCATCACCATCCGTAGTTTTGTATTTCGCCTGGATAGCGTTCTGCACAGCTGAAGGTACGGGATAATCGATGGAGAGCACCTGCCCATGTTGCAACTTCACCTTCCTTGTAGCGTACCTCCTGAGCCCCTGGGGGGCCTGTCGTCTCCTCCAATCATCCATAGAAACCACACTGGCGGGCCTGCTGGCGCCTGGAGCCGACAAGACCGTGAGCGAGGGAGTAGAAGGATTCGGGAACTGCATTTCAGAATAATAGGGCCCGGGGAGATCCTTTCTCTGGCGAAATCCATCGGGTGTAGGTTCTCGCGAGCCAGATTCGTCAAATGGGCCCCGGAAGGGACCCTCTTGCACTCCGCCCGTCAACGGGACCCGTTCGTGATCGGTTAGGTCGTCCTGAATTGTTGGTGGGTAGTCATGAAGGTCGTGCCTTTCTGGCTGGAAGCCTCCCGGAGGAGGACCCTGATACGCCATCGTTTCGATGCGTAAGATGATGCGGTGATGCTTGGTGCTTGTTTGCTAAGAGTGCGTGCTGTTGAAGCTCCTATTTTTTTTCTCTCTATTGTTCCTAACCCCTCCCGGTGGAGAACAGGTGAGGTGCTATGGTTAAGTACCAGCCGATGTATGAGCTAGGGGGAATCCTTTTTTTATTTCGGAGGGTACAGTGTGTGTTTGTGTGGCCAAGTGGAGATTTTGGTAACCAGAGGCGGGGGAAGAAGGGGGAGAATAAGGGCTTGGAGGTGCAGTAAATAAGAATCAAGATGTGGTTAGGGGTCTGAGGATTCGAAAGAAAAGAAGAAAAGAAAGAAAAAAAGGGAAGAAAAAATAGAGAGAGAGAGAGTAGGAACAAAAAAGGCTGAGCTGTTCCGGAGAGAGGAAGGCTCAGTAAGTTAACAAGGGAATGTGCGGAGATGATTACCGTGCATTCACAGAATACAGCTGAGCGAGCGGGGATTGTGGACAGGATGAAGAGGAGGAGGGGGGGGGTGGATAGGAAGGGGAGAAAAGGAAAGCAGGGAATAAGAGTTGAGAAGGTTTCACAGTGCACAATAGAAAGCGGACGAAAAAAGCAAAAGGTACAGTACCGGTACCGTATCATACAAAGCCTGCATCCCGAGAAACCAGAATACCATACAATGACCCACACAAGAAAAGCTGCACCGTACTGTGCAGAAGATATCTCCTCCACCTTATCCCATCAAGTCAAGCAAGTGGCAAGAGAACCTGCCAGCCCACCGGCACCAGCCTTCCCTTCAATTACCTCCTCCTCCTCCTCCTCCTTCCTCTTTCTATTTTTACCCAATGTCGGTGTGCGAGGAAAGCAAGCAAGCAACACCAGAGAAAAAGATTTTCTCCAGCCTGTCGAAAAACATGAACCGATTCCTTGCAACGGATCCTTGCACCCGATGACGCGTGTCAACCTCTCACTTCCCTTTCTCTCCCTTCGCATCACAGGCAGTGAGAGGCTCCACAGCCCAGGAAACCCCGATGTCAGCGCAGCTCAAGTTAGGTATTCACGGGGGCAATAATAGTGGATATGAAAAGATATTCCCGCCCCCGCCGAGTGAGCCCATCACCCGCCGTTAAAAGCGTGACGGATTGCTCTCCCTCTCATCCGCCCCGATCAACCTGTGTGTGCCTGAAGACGGAAGGGGGAGTGAATGATCATTCGATAACGGCGTGAGCAATCCCCGCCGCCAAGAACCTCCACCGTTTCAGCCACGCCGATCCACCCGCAAGCCGAACCTTTGAAATACTGTACTCGAGTATTGTTGTAGACGCTGAGCACCCTCCCCCCTTCTCAAGCGAAACAATCTTGAGGAAAAAATCGGCATCGCTCATGAGCAGCCACCCTATGTGCTCGCTCCTCCTACACTCCTCGTGCTCAAAATGGTAAAAGCTCTCCTTGTTCTGGGGATTCCGTTGGTCGGTTCCGTATGCAATGAGTTCCTTCTGTGGGTCCCCCAGTTGCTTTAATGTGGTTTAGTTGAATACTTGAAATAGCGATGCAGATCGAGGCAACCCCTCCCCAACAATGATATTGCAAAATATTACGCACGGTTAATCTCTGCCCTGGTGGCTGAATTTTCGGAATAGCTGTTGTGCTCGGGTTTCATTAATGGACGCGCGCCGGTCCTAACCCGATAATTCCACGGTTTTGATATGATGTCCAACCATCCAACCAACCAGCCAAAATCCCCGGGTCGCTACGAGTACCGTACTCAACTCGCCGGGTGCCAGCCACCTCCGGTACAGAGCCGGACGGAGCGCGAGCAAAAATTAAAAACCAATACCGTATGTGCCGCACCGTGTCAATCAAACCACCAGCATCACTCTTTTCCATTCTTTCTCTTCTTTCATCCCGGATCGTCATCAGCGGTGTCTTTGACGATGCCTTGACAATCATTCTTTCATATACGAGTGTCTGTAGTACAGTAAGCTACCGTATTACGGTAATCCTGCGACGCCTTCGAGTATCATACCCCCCCCACGATGCTTGCACTGCGCTAAGCACCCTACACTACGGCACGAGTTGCAAGTAGATATTATCCGAATGTTAAACATGCATACATGCGAGCCCAACTCAAACTCTACGCTGGACCACTGCCACATCTGATTAAACCTCCTACTGTACCTCTCATCTAAGACAACTCTGCCCCGGAGTTTTTAGAAAAAAAGAAAAATAGCCTACGATTTCCCACCTACAGTAGCTAGGACATACCTTCGGCTCTATCTTAATAAGCCCTAAAATCTAGCATCGTACCGGAACGCACTGCCATACCCGAAGCACTATAATAATTCGATTGTGCCCGTCTGACTGTCGGCCCAATCCGGCTCCTCCTCCCTTCGCTGACTGCGCCTAGGCTCTTTCATATTAACTTATCATATCGTGCCCTATCAGAGCTTAGTACGATACATCTACTAAGTCTAAGCACAATATATGCGCGAATCAGCCTAACACGTGAAAGCCATTCCCGCTCCCCTCTTTCCTTCACTTCCCACCCACCCCTCCTCCTCCTCCTTTCCCGCGCGAGCACTATCTAGAGTACCGACAGAGCAAGCCCCCCCTCCCCCGTACAGCACAGCATCACAAGAAGTAAGAAATCTTACCACATATGCCACAGCCCGGGTTCTTCATTCTGTGCGCGTATGTATACGATTAATGGACCAGAGAATATGGCTCGGGTATGCACCAACCGATAACACCCAGTCGACCTGGGAAATGCTCTGTGCTGTACAGTACTGTAAGTTAGTCTACAGTACTGTACCCGCACCATCTATGCCAACAACCAAGCTTCAATCTAGCTGAAGTAAGAAGGAACTCCCGCCCGCAGTCAACACTCACCTTCACCATCACCCAAAGATTAGACTAGATTGGACATCGAAGGCGTGTCGGTCGGTGGGCACGTCGACAACATATCAGCCGAGAGAGAGAGAAAGAAAAGAAAAAAACGGACGATTGGCGGAATAGGCGAAAGGGCTCAAGTACTCGAGTATACAATAGGGCGCACTTACTGTGCTGTATTATACTTGTACCAGCGGGAGAGGCGTTCCCACCCCGATCCTCCGATCCTTTCTTTTTATTCATCCCTTTTCTTTTTCTCCCCCCGTCAAATTTACCGATCGGTAAAAAAGAGAAAAAAATAAAAAAATAAAAAAATAAAAAAAGGGAAAGAGAATTTCATCGAGGTTGTTGGTTAGAGAGTCCTGGCATCTCCACGAAAATAAAATAAAGCGGAAAACACAATTTCATGTATTCCAGAAAGATTTGTACGGAGTCTGTAATTTAACTTATCATACGAGTTGGTTTTTTCTCTCCCTTCCCCTCCTCTTTCCTCGCTTTCCCATCCCCCACACACACTAGCGAAAGCCGAGTGACACCCCGTGCCCAGGCAGTCCTATAATACCCTATCCTACCCGACCCGGTCGATCCCTTACTGTACTAGTACCCGAGTACTGAAAGAGAAGATAAATATAGCGGCACACATAAAACTCTACCAATCACTTTCCCCCCCCCACCACACACACCGTAACCTACGGTGCTCGTACTATTGCACTCGGGTACTCCTACAGTGGTCTACCGGCAGAGTATCATATCATACCTGACGTAACCATTCCCCGACTTGGCGCGGGTGCAGACAACTGATATGATACGAGTGCCGTATGAACCTGCACAGTAACTTACTATCGAGGCGAAAAGAAACCCCTTCGATAGTCCTAGACACAGTACAGCACACTACTCTAGTGCAGAAGCGTTCTTTAAAAAAGACTGCTATCGCATAGCACCAAAATTTGGCCCCATTTTCCTCGGATATAGGCCGTATGCAATAGCAGTCCTTTTTTAAAGGAATCGCTTCGACATTGCGGGTATGGTTCCATGGTTGGAACCTCGAATACTTGGACCGTGCACTGAGCACAGTACAGCACAGCACAGCATAGTTATTATACTGGCACCGGTAGTTCCAAGAACCCTTCTCGGAAAAGAATTTTTTAAAAAAGGGGGGGGAAGTCGAAAGGTGCTATGGAAGGGTGAGTTGTCTACGAGTACCGGTACTGTATCTCTCTTCTTAGACGGAAGGAGGAAAAAAGGAAAAGGAATGAGATTTACTAGAGGTGGAGGAGGGAACTCGACAACTAGTATTCAACTATTTCAAATTTTACAAGTGCTTGGACGAGTACGGCATAGTATTGTGTACCGGTATAGTACTGTACTGGTAGGGTTCTTGGATAGTCTACGCAGGACATGCTACCTGTGCAGCACTGTACTCGTAGATCTCTCAATACAGCAATCGGTATGGTGGTCTACAGGAATTCATACCGTAGTGGGCAAGCGTCTAACCCCCCCTCCCCCTCCCTGCCAACAACCCCCAACTCCGATTCTTTTAATAGATCGGAGGCGGTCGACTGCATACCGGTATCATACGGTACCGGTAGGGCTATTTTGAAGTTTGGGGTGCCGGTGGGTTCGATACCGTATGATAATAATATTATGATATTTGCACGCAAGCCACCTTGTGGCAGGGCCCGGGCGGTTACTCGTACAGAGCGAGTGCAGTGCACATTCTTCCCCCCCCTGCCGCCCGCTTCAAGCGCTTTCCTGTTACGACTACGGTATGAGGATCTATATCGGAATGGTACAAGAAAACAAAAAACAAGAGGTCAACGTGATGGAGCCGGGTTTTGTGTTGGCCACTTCCAGGGATTCACGATAAATCTCAGCCATTCTATCGTGCTATGATGGCGGAGAGTCTTGGGATTGATGTTTTTACTAAATTTACTTACGCCGTTGGTGCGTTGGGAATTTCCTGTGATAACAACCGTGGGTGACTTGTGTGTAATTTAGGTAGCGAGCTGGGGATTTCGGGTCAAGCGCCTGGAATTTTTTAAACGGCAGCTGGCACGGTACGGTATGGGGTGTGTGTGTTTTACTGGCTGCACTTGTTTCAGGATTTCCCGTTTCGGAGGTTTGCACAAGCTCCGGGCTGCAACTATCTTTCTTCAGACCTGGACACGCTCACTGCGGCAGCCCGGATGTTTCACGGAGCGAAGGATAACTGCTATGGATGACTTCTGCCTGTGTCGTAAAACCTGAGAGATGCGCGACCGTCGGATATCCTTCCAAACCAATGTAATCTTCGAAGGACGTGGCGACGGAAACTAGCGGGATCAGTGACAGTTGTTTTTTTGTTGCCCAACTTTGGCGGATTGAAATTTCTGCCCGGGGAACGCTACCCTGGTCCGTCATCTGTTGGTTTTCGTCATGCCCGTTGGGAGGCGTATCGTAGCTGTGCGGCGGAACCTTGAATCTATCGGTACTGGACTTGTAGGCTGCTGTGGGAGCCTGCTTCCGAGCCGGTGCGGCGCGGGTATGTACGGTAGGTGGGTATCTCCACTGTACAATTTGGGGAGGTGCAATAGGCAAGTTTGTGGGATCGGGGCAGCGGTTACAGTTTTTGCTTTCGATGTTGCGTACGGGTAGCCGCGGCCGAGGTATCGAGGATCACCCGTGTTTTGTCTTATTATTTGATACTGTAGTTAGGGGAGTGAATGTGTGAGCGAGCGAGCGGAGAAATAGCCCGAATAGAGGAGGACCAGGAGGAAGGAAAAGGGGATGATCGTGCCCGGGGATTTCCACTTGCTGGTATTGGATAGCTGAGCGTCGCCGGACCGGAAGGGGAACGGAATGAGAAGAGGGCTCTCGCAAAAGCACGGAAGTGCTATAATTTTCCTATGCCACGTCAAGTTACCGCTGGGGCTTGTAGGGGGAAAAGTGTAGTTAGAACGATAAGTCTAGTGCAGGTGGAGGTTTCCCTCCTTGAAAGGGGATGTGCAAAATGTACTTGTGCTTTTTACACTGCTGGATTGTCGGTGCGATACCGGTATTCGCTACCCTCCGGTGGTACCGGTACCGAAGCCTTCCGCAAGAGCTTTGTGTGTTCCTGGATCACGGGCGGTGGCGTGGTCTTGTGCTACGGTAAGAGCTCCAAGAGTTGAAGCTCGCGCTAAGACGTCAAAATTTCCCTCCCTTGGATAGGGGGGATTTCAATCACTATGAAGACTGACCCCCCTCAGCCTTAGCATAAGACAAGATGGAATAAAAAAAGTGCTGGACCCTGCAGCCAAAGGCATCTAGCGCTCTTACCGCGGGGATCAAGTACCGGTACCGGTATTCGATTTCGTATGGTGCTGTACTCGTATAATACGGGACACTCCTAGCGCTAGGGTTGAATGTCCCCCTACGAACAGTGCGGCGCAACCGTGGTAGTAGGGAAGTACGGTAAGAATAGCTTATGCCAAACTAAAGCCACAACTTTACAACAAGTAGCCTCAGGACTAAACAGAAACTAAGCTTTTCTTTTTGGTGGCGATGGGGGCACAAAGGTAATGCATGTAATTCTATCACGAAGGCCCCTTTCACTCCCGGTAGCGCAACAATTCTGGGTACCCCTACGAGTAACAGAAGGCAAAATAACAATAAACAATGGCATTAACTTATGGAGATAGTGGCACTTACCACCTACAGCACTGGCACCTACCATGGTTGGGGTTTCAGTACCCGTACCGCACGCAACCCTGTCAAGGGTGGATAGAAGGAAGAGAAGGACCTCTCTCTTGCCTGGCGGTGGGATATCATAAAGCTTTAAACACTCTTGAAAGGGGTAGGAATAATAAAAAAGAGAAAAAACTCCCTGACAATGCGTCTTTCAACCCGTTAGTTCAATAAATGATGTTGGAGAAGGCGACATATCAAAAACTAAAGGAAGTCTCCTGGTTTGTAAACACAATTTGTTTTAATCAGGCCAGAAGTGGGTTATTAACACTCTCGGCAAGCGGGAGAGTAGAGTGGGATGGAAACGATGCGTACTTATCGCATGGCAATTTATTGAGCCGGATATCATTTTTTTTCAACAGCTATGACCGGAAGAAAAAACACTCCAGCCGCAACAGCCGCTGCGGGAGAAGGATTGTGTGGCTCTAAACCTGCGAACCGGGTACCGAAATGACCTTGAGTTGGGCCAGGAACCCGAGCAAGGTTGTGTGATCCCTATATCATACCTCACAATACATTCGAGTGGGGTGAGGTATGATAGGTGTGCATATATGCGTAGACTAAACCAGACTTCATAATATCACAGTCACATCACAGAGGGGACTACTTTACTGTATCTTTTGGCCTGACACTTAAGGGTCGTGTTTGGAAAGAATATGTCTGGGAATCAGATTTGAACATGTCTAGTCTCAATAATGATCATAGCAGTTCTAAATAATTGGAATTTTGGGTTGAATCCACGCAGGTACTTGCTGCAACTAGTTCTATTGTTTTGCGATTTTCCATCTTATGTTATTTGGTACAATGGGGTAAGTTTGTACTCTTTTTGCCTTCCATCTTCTAGTATGAAAAATACCAGATCCTAAAAAAGTTCACCTTTGACTATTTCTATTGCAATATTTGAGTTAGATGGTGTAATATGCAGGGTGGCTGAGGATGGTGGCCAGTGGGTAGCACTTACTACACTATACAGGACTACAGCAGCAATTGTAAGCTGGGGTTCAAAACCTGAAATGGGATGAGAAACAGCTAAAGGTGTCGATGGAAGAAAATTTACAATAGTGTTCAAATGTATGGATGGAACTATTATCCTCATTAGATTCTATTGTAGGAAATTCTGATTTTACAGACTTTAATTGAGATGATAATATAACCTCTGTCATTTTTCCACGCTGTTATATACATAATTAGTTTTTCACTTTCTTCTACGGGTTAAGTCACAGACCATCAGCCTATAAACAAAAAGTCGCGTTACGCTTGCTTTTCCCCAGTGTAATTTAGATATTATAGAACGGTGGAGGGCGTGTGTTAGATACATCATTATACCGGGTGAGTGATTGATTGACGGCGTCTTTAAGAGAACCTGTCCAAACTCTATCACCAGGCGAGCGTTCTTTCCGTGTTTTTTTTTTTGCCGGTTTAGGAGGGGTGTCGTCGAGGACGATTTCGCTTGTCATTTGTACTGTGTTGGTCTCTACAGGTTTATTTGATTTTTGACAACCACCATAACATTATGCGATAGATACGTCTGTAGTTACAGTCCCTGATTTCGCTCACTGTTTTTTTTGCTTCCTTGATATCACTCGCTATTTTTCCTATTACTGTACCATAGGCATATCTCAGACATTGACAGGGGTGTCGCAACAGGTTCGTTTCGGGGTTTACCGGTAGTCAGCCTAGGAGAAAAGTAGCCTGTCATCAACGCTGCTTTAACACCGGCGCACCCCGCTTTTCTTCTCCTGGACTGAGCCTCTTTCCGCTCTCAGGAA